ATATATATATATATACAGAGAAAGATATATATACTTCTGTAATGTTTCGTTCATCTACAATGAAATAATTGAAAATTCGATATAAAAGTCTTAATCTCCCTGCTGCTCAAACGTAATTCCATTATTATGATCGATAATTGCATTAATATAATACATAACTGATAATTGCATTATTTAAAAACTTTTCTATAAAGTATTGTTTATGATTATAATGGATAGGTTTTGTACAATTACGTGTGATCATATTTTAGAAATAAAGATGTATTCACACATGAAGTAATAGTAAATATAATACATGAACAATAAAACATATTATATAGATGTTATTATGACAGTGTTATAACCAGAATAAAATAATAGTAAGAATGTCAGCAATTTGTCAGTCCATGTTTTTTAATATACCTTTCCCTGGCTACTTGTATCATTTTAGCTTTCTTCTCTTGGAAGGAAGTAGTACCCAATATTTTATCCTTCGCAGAACTTGATGCACTGGACGATGTTACAGATGATTGAGCTGATGGATTAGGTTCTGGAGTATAAGTAACTATGCCATCGAGAATATTGGCGATCGTAACATCAACGTTTCGAGTTTTCACTGTGACAAAAACGAGCAGATTTAATAACAATTGCTGTTATCAAAAAAATCGCTATATAATTATTACTGTAAGATTAAATAAAATAATAAGATTTAAACAAGAATTAGAATAATAAGAGTTAATAAATTTAAATTAAGATTTCTTTCTCAGATAATTATATACTAATTATATACATACTGAGATCTCGTAGAATCACATTCTGTGGAACCAATGGAAGTACTTCACTAACTTGATGAACCATCCTTTGTATTTCTATACTATGTATAACTTGTGAGTTTGGCGTGTTTCTGGCGGGACGTGCATTACTGAATATTCTCGTGCGATAACGCTTTTCATACTCAATTTTGTCTGATACAGTATGAGAACATGTCTGAAGTCTCAGAGCATTCGCGATATCTTTTTCCACATCTCGCACAAGTATCTCATGATCAGAATTTCGTCTGATTTTCAGGTACTTGAGTGTGAAAACTGTATAGGGCACAAACATAAACCAAAATGCTTCAGTCAACCTTGTTGAAGCCAATGAGGTAAGTTGCACAGGTACAAGTTCTGATCTTGATGCTTTGATGGCAACTGGTTGGACAGATGTTTCTATACAGAATGGCCAGGAATTGAATTTCAACAGAGCGACTTGATTGTTAGTTGTGCCAAATTCAGGCTGCACGGACACACTATATGTGGAAGTGGAAAGAAATTGCTTTATGTTGGCAATTAATGTCTCCTTATTGCTCATATTCATTTTCTGGATTCCCAGCGCGTTACTCAAGGCAGTAGGTGGTTCCCAAACACTAGGGATTACTGTCTCTGTCGTACGACGTAGAGCAAAGTGATCCAGAACTGATACACTATTGGCGATTATTATCCTTGATTGCTTGTCTCTGGGTTCACTCTCGGTATCGATTTTAACTACGATACCAAAAGCAATCCTAATGCCATAACTTAAAAATGTTCGAAGAGAATTGCAATCTGGTAGTAACGATGCTAGAAACCAGGACAGCAATACCACTAACAGTCGCAGCAACACAAGTACAAATCCTATTGGCGTATATAAGATTACAAGTAGAAGGCGCCAATCGCTGGGAAACCTAAACTCGTAATTGATTAAACTTTAATGTTTTAAGTTTAAACGATAATTATAGTAAAAAGTAATTAGTTTTTATTCTGTATGAACATCTTATACAGTGGATATTCCATATGACAAAGAACAACTATTTTTCACTTGCAAGAAAACCTCTCACATTCTTATGGTTTTTCAACCAATATTTACAACAAAAGTAATACATTTGGATAACAATAGCTATGACTAGCAGATTCTTTGCAATATTATCATAACAGATTGTCTTACCTGCTTTTGTTAAATAAATCCTGAATATCAATTTGTGACATCTCTTACAACAAACATCTGTCACATTTGAAGGTACAGTACTCGTCGTTCGTGGTTCCTTGTTAATGTCCAAAATGTTAAGTCAAGTATGTCCAGACAGTGACGCGATTATTGTTTGTGACCCTTTCTCTTACATACTTTTCAGTAACCTCCCTATTGATGCGAATTTTCCTTTTCGCTACTTCCAGCAATCAGCTGTTCCGCAGTAGCGTAACTGGTACTAGGGACTTTTTTTTCATTCACGTCAGCGGGAATTTTAAATGTTCCAAATCCAAATATCAATTCGCAAAGCTGTTTACAATTCAATCAATTAAATGTGATTACAATTAGAAGGATATGAGTTGATTTGAGTTGATTATAATCGAAAGTACAAATTATATAATAATACTCCATATAATACTGTCAGTCTATTTTATTTATTTGTTAATTGCTTGTATATATAATAATAATCCTTCTATATATCGCAAAATGTTTCATATGACAATTAAATAATTACTCATTTTTCTTGGATCGATAAGTTTATTCGTATAATGTGTAATAAATACAACTGTTAATTTTTTACCAAACGGAATTTATTTTTTTAACAAGTATAACATATTTTTTATTATATGATAAAGGAAACTTATATAGAATTGAGTAAGAATTGTGTAGAAAGAAGAAATATATTTTTAAAAGAGCATTGCAGATTATAAGTATATCGTCGAAAATCGTCAACGGGAATATTTTAATTTTCATAATAAAGTGTATTTTATGACAGTGAAAACTAAAAAAACATCTCGCATTCTTCGTATAATATATAACCATGTATTTGGATTTATATTTCCTAAGTGCGTTATCTATAATATTAATATATACATTGATACTTTTATCTTCCTCATAATAGCATTCACATGTGCTACAAAGTCCATATAAACCCAGAAATTTGAAACAATATAATTTTTTTTAATGTATTCGATACACATGTTTTTTATATAATGTAAGTAAGAATAAATTTAAAAACAGATTCGTACAGACTCATATATGGATTTTTAAAACTTATACATACATTTGGAATAATGAGCACGTTTGCACTTTGATTCTATTTATGTGCACTCGATACGCATGATGTGTATAGAAAGCATGTATGTATGC